AACAAATGGGCCGAACAGGCCGCACTGAATTAGGGAAATAATTCAACGCAATTGAATAAAGAAAAGAAACCAATATTAGATTTTCAAGGCAACAAAGAATGTGGATTTTTTTTTTTTTTTAATCCTGACCCAAATCCTGGACGAATTTAGCCGCATCAGCGGCCGACGGGAGCCACTTCTTATCTCCGTTCGGGAGTGTGATGCGCAACTTCGCAGGAAATAGCAACGCCGGCTTATATCCTCGCTTGTACAGTTCAGTCATGGCACCACTGTATTCGCCGCGCTGTTTCACAACCTCTGGACTATAGTCATCATAGAAGCGGATCCTATGCCCCTGATAAGACAGTGCGCCCCTCTTGCGGGCTTCACGGATAATCAGGTCTTTCTCTTGGAACCTATGGAAGCGCAGGATGACAGGGCGAGGACGGGATCCCGGGGCGGGCTTGGGGGCGAGGGTGCGGTGCGCTCGATCTATCTCAGGAAGGGAAGGGAGCGTATCTTTACCGAAGACTTCAGTCAAAAGCTTTGAGAAGAACGAGGATGGCCGGGGACCTTCTATATCTTCTGGTAAGCCGACAATGCGAATGTTTTGGCGCCTGCTGCGCCCCTCCAGATCCACCACCTTAGCTCTCAGTGTCTCATTTTCTTTTTGAAGATTAGCACACACCTTCTCCACCTGCAGTAAGCGCGCGTCAGAGGCAGTTGCATTATCTTCCAAAGAGCAAATACGCTGACCGTGATCTGTCATAGTAGAGTTGATGCTGTCCAGTGTGGAGTTCAGAGACTCAAAAGACAACTTGAACTCCGCAGACAGGGCCTCTTTATGACTGCTAAGGAGCGAGCTAATGTCCGCGAATGTTATGCTAGCAGTAGCCGGCGGCGCATCTCTTTCTCGTTCAGAGGATTTTCCTTTGGCCTTCGACATGACGAGGTAAGTTTGAAAGAAATGTTAACAACAGCAACAAAAAATAATTTAATCTTTACAAAGGAGATGGGGTTCTGAAGAGGTATAAAAAGCACAGATGTAGCAGCAGTCCAAGTGTCCGTCTACTCCTCACGCATTCCACCCGGAAGTCCCCATACTTTTGGAACTTTGAGTGAACCTACACTCACCGGCCACTTTATTAGGTACACCTGTCCAACTGCTCATTAACACAGATGTGGAATCAACCAATCACATGGCAGCAACTCAATGCATTTAGGCATGTAGACATGGCAAAGATGATCTGCTGCAGTTCAAATCAAGCATAACAATGGTGGAGAAAGGTGATTTATGTGACTTTGAACATGGCATGGTTGTTGATGCCAGACAAGCTGGTCTGAGTATTTCAGAAACTGCTGATCTACTGGGATTTTCATGCACAACCATCACTAGGGTTTACAGAGAGTGGTCCGAAAGAGAAAATGTCCAGTGAGCAGCAGTTCTGTGGGCGTAAATGCCTTGTTGATGCCAGAGAATAGCCAGACTGGTTCAAGCTGATAAAATGGCAACAGTAACTCAAATAACCACTCGTTACAACCAAGGTATGCAGAAGAGCATCTTTGAATACGCAACACGTTGAACCTTGAGGCTGATGGGCTACAGCAGCAGAAGACCACACCGGGTGCCACTCCAGTTTCAGATCAGGAAACTGAGGCCACAATTTGCACAGACTCACCAGAAATGGACAATAAAAGATTGAAAAAACGTTGCCTGGTCTGATCGAGTCTCGATTTCTGCTGAGACATTTGGACAGTAGGGTCAGAATTTGGTTTCAACAGCATGAAAGCATGGATCCATCCTGCCTTGTATCAAAGGTTCAGACTGGTGGTGGTGATGGTGTGGGGGATATTTTCCTTGCACACTTTGGGCCCATTAGTACCAATTGAGCATTATGTTAACACCACAGCCTACCTGAGTATTGTTACTGACCATGTCTATCCCTTTATGACCACAGTGTACCCATCTTCTGATGGCTACTTCCAGAAGGATAATGCACCATGTCATAAACCGCGAATAATCTCAGACTGGTTTCTTGAATATGACAGTGAGTTCACCTTACTTGAATGGTCTTCACAGTAACTTGATCTCAATCCAATAGAGCATTCTTGGGATATGGTGGAACGAGAGATTCGCATCATGGATGTGCAATGGACAAATCTGCAGTAAATGTCTGATGAGATCATGTCAATATGGACCAGACTCTCTGAGGAATGTTTCCAGTACTTTGTTGAATCTATCCCACGAAGGATTGGGGCAATTCTGAAGGCAAAAGGGGGTCCAACTCAAAGTGTACCCAGTAAAGTGGCCAGTGAGTGTATATATCTGAAGCTACTGTTACACTGGCATTATGTGGGACCAGGGGTGCGGTATAGGGGGGAAAAGTGATGACAATTCTAGGGGCCCTGACCACTATTTATTTATTTATTTATTTTATGGTCATAGAAATAAAAAGAGAAAAAATTCAGGGCCCTGTCAATTACAAAATTAATCATATTGTATTTTCAAAGATTGTTTTTAGCAGTAAAAATTTTATGTTCCAACTCCAAGATCAAAAAACACACATCCATATTTGCCCTGAGCACCCCCCCCACCTTTTGCATGAAATGGTTCGTTCCTGTTCAGTGCACTTGAGAGTGACTCTATTCAGCTGCAGTCAGTGGAAGACACAAACGATTGTAGCAGTTACTATGCTGCTAAGAAAAGTTATAAAATCAGGTTTTCAAAAGAGAGAGAGAGAGAGA